GGCCCCGCGCAACCTCCGTGGGCTTCCCCCCTGGCTCGTCCTCGGCTCGGAGCGGGCAGGGCGGGAGGCGGCAGGGCCGCGCCACGGGAGAGCCCGGGAAGATGGACGCCCCGGCGGAGGAGCCGGAGGGGGGTGCAGGGTGGAAGCCACGGCCCCGCTTTGAAGTGCGGGAACCCCCGGAGATTGCCGCGCCGCCCCCGCCGCCCGCGGGACCCTGGCCGAGAGTACGGGAGCCGGGCCAGGGAGCCGGGCCGGGAGCGGGGGAGCCGGGCCGGGGAGCCGGTGAGGTTCCGCGGTGCCGGGCAAGATGGCGGCCCGAGGCGCGGTGTGCCCCGGGCCCGACGCGCAGGGGCCGCCCCGCCGCTCGGGGGCCCGGCTGCGCTCCCGCATTTTTTTGATTTCGCTCTCCTTTTTTTTTTTTCCTCTTTTTTTTTTTTTTTTTTTTTTTAATTGTAATTTCCAGGCAGCGGCAGCTCGCCGCGCGGAGCGGGAGCGAGGCCGGCGGCGCTCCCTCCGTCCTCCCCCCTGTTTACAAACACAGCTGTTGCCGTGTATTTGCAATGCTAAGGGTAAAGCCACCAGCAGCGAGGAGCAAACGAGAGATGGTGCGGGAGAGGGGTCCTCGGCATCTGGAAAGGACAGGGCGCCTTGTTTTTGAAACTGTCAATTCCCTCAACCCCTATTGTGAGCGCTTCATGCAAAACATCTCGGGGCTTTTAAAGCAGGGGCTTGTGAGGCCGCCTCGGAGAGAAAGGGAGAGGGGGAGAGAGAGGGGCCTAGGGCACGGGAAATAATTATATCAGCGCAGTGAAAAAATGCAACGTGTAAGGCCTAAACCCGGCTCGCTGTCCCTTCCCCAAAGGTTTTCGGGCAGGCCGGAGATGTTAGACCACGGCTTGCAGGGCCAAGTACCAGGGGAATGGGTAATGTCTGCAAGCGTGACTTCAGCAACACAGATCCCAATACTTCCCTCCTGATTTTGCTAGCCAGGGCTTTTCATTTTCAGGCACTCGCCCTCCTTTTGTACCTCCAAGCTGACCAAATAGATTCCAGGATGAACCATCACATATTCTTCCCAGCAATCCTCTTAACCATAAAAACCACAATTAACAAGGTTATCTGTGTTTCATGTTCTCCAACATACTGCATATGTAGAATATTTTCCTGCAGATTACCACCGTGTGTCAAAAATGCCACTTTTTTTACCCTTTTCTGTCTCAACCACTCACATGTGTGAACAGTGACAAACATAAACATGATAGCATTGCTCTCATTTCTGCAGAAACTTTAATTTATTGGCAACTAAATCTGTTAGAGGTAAAGAGATCAGAGACCATGTAAAAAATCACCATGTGAATTGATTAAACAGCAAACTTCATAAAACAGCTACCACTATTTTGCATTATTGCTAGTAGTGGTGTTTTAAATAAACAATCAGTAAAGAGATTATCGCACTGTATCAAGTAAGGGTAGCTTATATAACAATCGGTTCCTAAAGTAAATTGCTGTAAACGGCAAGTTACATCTTTTAAGGCAATATACCTCGTTGCTGAAGGCATTACACGTGTTCCCTTTTTAATGCTCTAGAGAATTAAACAGAGTCCAAAACTTTCTTTGTCGTCCATCTGGCAGCAGAAATCTTCACAATAAATTTACCGGTGAACTCTATTTATGGCAAATACCTATGCAGTGTAGTCCATAAAGTACACGCACTTCCCTCAATTGCTTTTTCCTCTAGAAAATTCTGTTGATTTGTGTGTACACCAGGAATTGGGAAATGGTGGCAATTCATTGCTAATATATTTTAAGTTTTATCTCCTGTAAACATTGCAACAAAATGGTAGCCTAGCTCCCTTGGAAAACCTTGGGTTTTCCTCATTATTAGAACTTACCTTTATGGGAGAAAATTGGTTATTTTTACGTAACTCAGTGATAAGACTTCACATGATTAAGGCTGAAATGATAATGAACTCTGATCGCAATAATAATTACAATGTCATCAGAAACAGTTACCAAACTACCAGAATTGGAGAGAATACCTTTTTTTCAATCCCCCTCCCCTTTATTTTTTCCCTAGTGAGTTATTGTACCTGGCTAATTTCTCCAGCGGCAATAAAAACACGAATGTCCCTGTTAGTGGCTTGCACTAAACTGAGGTGTGCACGTGTGAAAATTATTTGGCTGTTTAACTCCTTGCCGTTTGCTGCTGCCTGGGCGGAGGAGAGCCAAGCGGAGCAGCCTGCCGGGGATGCCCGGGGGTGCCTGGAGCTCCCGGGCCGCTGGCAGGGCTGGGCGCCATATTTCACATCCTCAACTCTGCAGAGCCTATTTGGTATAAATTTATGCTTATTCCTCCCCCTCCCGACCAACCCCCCCCCCCCGGCTTATTTCAGGAACCTGAAAAGGCACCTCTGTAATTTACAATTCCTGGCCAAATCAGTATATCTCTAATTGGAAGTAAACAGGGTCAGGGGACAGAGTTACTTTGAAAGTGATACGTTGTTTAATTGACAAGGCAAAATTTTAGGTTTCAGGTTTGCATATTGCACTTTTGTAGCTTTTGGCTCTTTTTTTTTTCCCTTTCTCTTTTTTTTTTTTTTTTTTTTTTTTTTTTTTTTTTTGGTCAAGTGAAGACCTTTGTCAAGCAGACACGGTTTCTAACAGAGCAGGGGTCTTTCCTGAGCAGTACATTTTGTACGTACTTACAGTTCTCTGGAAATAAGGCTGTATTCTGTGCAGCTCTAAACACACGAACGTAAACATTCATCTCAGAACAACTTCAGTAAGCAGATTTTTCATGACCATCGTAATTTCAGCAGAGCAGTTAAGTATGCAATGCACCTTTTGCAATTGGCAGCTTTAAAGTGATGTGTGTGTGTATGTACGCGTGCATGCAGGGGGAAGGGTAACTCCACTGAAAGGCAATTGTTTACTCTTTCTAAATATATTTGGCTACAGGTATTCTTAGACTAGGCCTTTTACAATGAGAGGAAAACTCCGGTGTGGATATAGTAAACAGAGCTGAAATCAGTTAGTGACTACTTGGAATATCTGGAGACACGAGAGGTTGGGAGAGGGCATCACAAAAGGCAGGAATTAAAAAATTGAATCCCAGGCAGTGGATTGCCAGCAGAAATGTTGACTTTGAGTCACACAGTAAACATTACATTGTTGCTTTGTTTTCCTTTTTTGATTTATGATAAATTATTCTCCCGGGATTGATCGATGAGTGGAATCCTTAAAATTTAATTTGTGAATGATCTAGTATAAATAAAATGCTAATCCAAAGAAAGAAACCAGCAATTATTCATCCTAAACTCTGCTGATTCAGCAACTCAATTATTACTGCCTTTCTCAAGCTGCAAACTTTTCAGGCTGTTTTCAGAGTTGCTGTACCCGTCCTCCCCCCGCAAGAGAGACCTTCCCCCGTTCTCGGCTCTGCCTCCACCTCGGCCTCCAGCCTTTCTCTCTCTCTTTTTTTTTTTTTTTCCTTCCCTTTCTTTTCGAGAGGCTGGGGGGGGAGGGAAGGGAGGGAAACAGTTAACCTCTTGAAGCGTATTTCCTCCAAATAAAAACAGTGAACTTACAAACGGAGAGGAAACCACGGATAACTCTGCAATAATTCAAAGTGTTTGGAATCAGAATTTTTTAAAACAGTGTTTTTAATTGAAAATAAAGCTAAAGCATGCTTTTCAACAGTGCAAATTTCCATAATTTTGATTTACTGCTTCCATCATCACAATATATTATACCAGCATGACTTACCGAGGGCTAGACTCTAGAAGTCTGCCTGTTCGACTATTTCGATATTAAGTGCAAATATAGATAATTGCCTCTGATTGTCACGTGCAGTAGAAATGTTTCTGCTACATAGAGAGGATGGCATGGCAAAATAAAACTCACGACAGCAAATTTCAAGAGATGAGGATAGAACCGGGAAGTGTAACACGGTTGAAACACTTGAGTTTTGGTGCCAAAAAGCTATGAATAACATGGTCTTCTCATTTTGTGTAATCTTTCCACTTATGGCCTCTCATTTCACTTTCTGTGTTGTATTTACTGCTTTGCTATTTCCTCCAGCCAGCGTGAGGGGCTGGACCATAAATTGTACTGCTGGCCAGGCAAATATTTTAGTTGCTTTGCAAGTTTGTAAGGGGCATGTTCAGACCACAACTTAAGTATGACATTAGTGGGTAACAGTAACCTTATTTAAGACCTCTGGGTGAAACAAAAAGGCTTCCCAATTGCAAAGAGTGGCTGTACAAGCAAAAAGACACCCTTTTACCAAAAATAGAATTCCACATTTATTTACTGGTTTCAAATGAGGCAGCTTTTCCCAGCGCTGGGGTCGCAGGCGGACACCAGGCTTTCCAAACCAGAGAAAAAGGAGTAAGTGCAACTGCTCTTCGAAAGAGACACCCCTGCACCCGAAAACAAAGCTCCCGAAAAGTAGATTGCTGCCACATTGAATTTATAGTGAACCCTTACTGTGCAACCATGTAACTTAACAAACTTTAACTGAATTAACAGTTAGACTTCCATTTTCGAAATCTAGTGCATAAATTTAATGGCTCATTCTAATATTTATTATTCAACCTTTTGACATTTATTTGCAGCAGTTGAATTGAGGTACTGGTGCATTATTAGCATTTAAACAGTAAAGTGTTCCAGCTTTACCGTAATAACTGAGTTTAACTTGAGTCTTTAGCCTGAAGTACTCTGTGGAATGTAATAAAATAAAATAAAATAAAAAAACCCAATGCAACAGAACAAAACAAAACAAAAATAGACCACCAAAACCAAAAACCCAAAATAACAGAAAAATCCCACCACTGTTGTAATGGTAAATAAAATAGTAATCCGGTTTCTGTCTTCACATTGTGATAAAACAGGATTCCAGAAGTGTGTATAGCATTAATGGGTTTGTACAAACCATGCTGCAGAGTTTTAAAAAAAAAAAAAAAAAAAGGTAAGAAAGTTAAAGGTGGTTCAAGAAAATATTTTCCAAACTATTTTATTAATTAAATTTCCTGAATTTGTGGCTAGGTGGAAGAGGTATTGCAGAACCGCCCAGCTGCCATTTCCATACAGGATGGGCCTTGTGAGGTGGTTGGGAATCCTTAGTGGTGTTTAAGGAATAAGCTGGCAACAAATCCCCATCATTGCCAATAATTAGTGATGGTGGACAGGGAAAATTTGCCATGAAATTAAATGGCCTTTTCACTGCTGATGCTACATTGCTGGCTACCCTTTTGCGTCTATTGTTAACTGTAAAATCATCCAGTGTTCCTTCATGTGTCTCGATTTTACCTGTAGGACGTGGGCTTCGAGCTGATTTCAAATTTGGTTTGACTGGAGGAGTCTGCAGTACAGGTCGCTTTCCCAAAACCAGTGTCCTGTAATTTTTTCTCACCCTTGCTCCAAATTTATACTCCCCATCCTCAGGTTTTGGAGTACCTAAAGTGCATGAGAGGACCTGACTCTGAGTCAGCGGGTTTAAGGAAGTGGTTTCTTTCTCAGTGCATGCAGAATCTTCCTTGGCTGTTAATAAAGCGTCCTGGTTATTACTCTCAGTCACACCGTAAAACTCATCCTTAGTATCATTGCACTCACACTTTAGCTTATGTGTTGTAAGATCGGGCTCATACTCGTCGTTCGCACTGCTGTCCTCTATTTTGATTTTAATGCTGTGCAGGAATGGCAATGCCTTATTGCCTGTATCAGTGCACTGGAGCTCAGCTGCTGCTGCTGCCCCTGGAGAAGCAGCATCCTCCGCAGGATCAGTTTGTAAAGAGGGCAAATCCGTGGCAAATTCAATACAATGAGGGATTTTGGAATCTTTCTCTGAATTTGCTGCCGTTGATGAAGAATCATTATTTAAGAACCTAGCAGCTATTGTATTGTTATCTACACGGTGTGTAGTAGTTGCTTGAAGGCATTTCCTTGCCTCTCTGAGTATTCTTTGTTGTGGAAATGCATTGTTTGTCTTTGGGCTAGGTGAAGAGGCCCCCTTTGCAACACAGTTAATTGTTAGGTCAGTACTCTTGGTATTATTGGAAAATTCAGAGTGTGGGAATGTGATCTCGGATACCCTATCATCTCTTATCTCCGCGAAGCAGCTCCCTAGGCCGCCGGAGCAGCGCAGCGCCGGGGCGGCGGGAGCCCAGCCGGGGCGGCCCCACTCCTCCGGCAGCTCCGGCTTGACTCCGCCGGGAGCGCCGCGGAGGACGGGCAGCCCGCCGGGCTCCGCCGGGGCCGGGGCCGGGGGCCGGGGGGCGGCGGCGGCCGCCAGATGGTACAAGAAGTTGGCGTGGACCACGCCGGGCGGGCTGCAGAAGCTGGTGCGCCTGAAGCGGATGCTTTGCACCGAAACCTGGCTGGAGACCGAGCTGGAGTCGGAGTCCGAGGTGCTGTCCTCCTCCTCCTCCTCTTCCTCCTCCTCTTCCTCCTCCTCCTCCTCCTCCTCTGAGCTGCCCTCGCTGGAGTCCGAGGCGCCGCTGCCCTCCTCGTCCTCCTCCTCCTCGTCCTCCTCCTCCGAGCTGCCCTCGCTGGAGCTGGAGAGGCTGGAGCCGCAGTCCGAGTCGTGGGCGGCGCGGCCCGAGCAGCAGCTGGACTCCGAGTCGCTGCTGGCGCTCTCGGCGAAGGCGGGCGGCCCGAAGCCGCGGGGCAGCGACAGCGGCAGCCGCGGGGCGCCGCGGAGCCGGCAGGGCCGGGGCAGGGCCAGGGGCCGGCGGGCGCCGCCGGGGGGGCCCAGCGTGCCGGCGACAGCGGCCGCCCCGTGGCGGCGGCGGCGGCAGCGGCCGGGCAGGGGCGGGGGGCCGGCGGCCGGGAGCCGGGGCCGCGCCGCGGCGGCGGGAGGGCGGCGGGGCCGCAGGGGCGCGCAGCCGCCCGCTGCCGGCGCCGTTTCATAGTTTACGGGGGGTTTGCAAGGCGCCCGAGCGATTTCTGGGTAGCTGTGGCCAGTGTATTTACTAAAAATGTGAGGTAGATGAGCGGCCGGTAGCAAGGCTGCGTCCCCCGGGCGCAGAGCTTTCCTCCGGACGGGCAGCAGCGGCCGGGGAGAGTCGCTCAGACCCAGCCAAAGTTTGTTCTCCTTCCAGAAGCCGGAGAAGGGGTCGGCGGGAGCGAGCTCCGGCCGGAGGTCGGCGGCAGACAGCGCCCGGCTTAGTTTCCTCCGTTTCGTCTTAAGTACCCGTTCGGTTTTGCAGGATGTGTACAAGGCTTCCACGTCCTCTCTGGAGATCAGGGTGCATTTGGCGGCGTGGAAAGCGATGGAGTTGATGGCTTTGAGTTTCCTCAACTCCTCCAGGTCGCAGTGATGCTTTTTTACTTTTAAATGATCCATTCGCTTGTGCACGGTAGTTCGCGGGATGTTTTTGAGCAGGTCTGTAAAAACCTGGGAGAGTGCAAACATTTGCTTTCCTTTAATGATGAGGTAGCCGAGCCTCACGCCATCCACCTCTTCAAAACCCGACTTCAGGTCTCCCATTTCGTGAATTAAATTATTCCCAGCATTTGCAGAGAGAGAGAGAGATGAAAAAAAAAAAAAAGAAAAAAAAAAGAAAAAGCCACACACACACAATCCTCAGCCAGATGCTGTATTTGTCTCAAGGCATCCTGCTAATAAAATATAACAAAGGCTGTTATTCCTGGTGAATGAAGTGCCAAACTTTAGACAAAATTAAAAAAAAATAAATTAAAAAATACCGTGAGGCTACAATCAATATATAATCTTAAAAATCAGGTTTGCCAAAGTGTTTCTCTAAGTTGCTTCTGAAGATCAGTACCTGTTCCCTTTCATTCCCTGCTTTTCCATTGGAAACTATGATAATGGAATGTGAAGGGAGGAAGAGAAAAGAAATGCAGCTGCTATTCCCGCCGCTGCTTTAGCTACAAATAAAATGACAGAGTGAAGTGAGCTCGTCCGGAGACACCTTCATCAATTAATTCCCCTAAAGCCAACGCTGATTGGACACTCCTGACAGGTGATGCAATAAAAATTGATATTCCACCCCTTCCCCCAAAAAATCTCCCACTAATTAGCATACCCTTATACTGCCACCTCCCCTCCCAAAGTAAATAATACAGTTAGTATATAAATCTTTCTATTAAACAATCCGAGCTCAAACATACTCAGCCCTCTCAGACTTCCTCGTCGCTAGCTTCCGAGGAAGGATTTGTATGCTTTTCCCCCCTATCGTTCCGTATATTTTCAGCCTGTTTTGGACAAACGTTGCTCTTTTGTGCATGCCGTGAATTTAAAGGACATAAGTCTGATCGTAACGATGGAAAATCCTTCGGTAACGTAGCCGCTTTAAACTAGTGTTTTATTCTCCATTGTGTGGAAAATGAAGCTTAGAGAAAACGTGCAGAACAGCCTGGTATTTCCCCTCCTGAGGCTCCAAAGTTAAATGTTCGGTTGCTAACGAGAGGGAATACTTACATTTTCGAGTTTCTCTTGATTTTCCTCTTCAGCTTAATTAGCTTTTTACAGCCCGGGACTAAGGTTATTTTTGCTGTCTGAGTATCACGGGTATCCTGCACCGTGATACTGTAACACTTTTAACTGAAATTCTGCCTGTAATATTGCGGGAGGGGGGAGGAGGACGTGAGCTCACGTCAGACCCATAACAAAGCATAGATAAGCCAGAAATGTATACACTTTTCACGATTAACCGTACTGGATCACGAGCTGGAATGTCCTATAGTCCCAGAGCCCACGTCAGGATTCCTGCGTGCTGATTGCTTCCAGCAGAGAAAGGAGAATGTAAAATATCCAAGGTGCTTCCAAGAGCCTTTACGTAATAACAAAAAAGTGCTGGCACACACAATGTACGATATTGCATCGGGCTAGGATGCTTCTGGCTCGCAGTTTGCATATTCCGCTTGGAGTAGCCCTGCCGAAGCTTTTTGATGCTCCATTTATAGCAGCCCCTTAAAATCAATTGGAAGAAGCAGCATGAATGTTTAACGTCTTCTTAGGAACGTTAAATTATTCGAGTGTCAGGAACGGGGATTTCGCAAATGTTGCGATAGCTGCATGCCTCTCCCTTGTCACGTTAACGTGATGCTTGCGGTTTGCACGTTAGGCGCTGCGAAAAAAAAGATCACCAATCTCTGCCGTGCATCCAGTGTTCCGCTGGATACAAACACCAGCACTTTTATGTATCACTGCACATCCAGAATTAGACACATCCGCGAGATTAATGAGACATCTCATATTGCTGTGACTTGGCAAAAAAATCGACGGAGGAAAAAAAATTAAAAATCTTCAGTCCCAAACCTCAATATCCACTCCGCATGTTGGCAATATGGTGCGTGGAGTTCGTGTTACCCCGTCAGGTACAGCTACAAGAAAGCGCATAATCACTCTGTGAAAAAGCAGTTTTGCATGGCAAGGCAAAATGCAGGCGAGCCCCCAGTTTCACAGGAATTCGAGAGAGAAGTGGGAATTTGGAGAAGTGCATCCGGGAATGGAGGAAGTCTATTCAAGAGAGCCTCTAACTCGGAGGGCTGAGATTTGAAAAGTCAGCCCTGGACTACTGTTGCTCTCAGCGCAGATGTAATCGCCGCTGTTCAACTTAATCCATGTGTGTGCGAACGGCGATGCCTAGTTCTTCCCTTTGAAACCTAGGGATAGTATTCCCATCCGAGAAAGCAGAGCTACAGCAAATTACATTTTGTCCCTCGAATTAGAAAAGGATCATTGAGTGGATCTCGTGATATTTCAGCCTTTAAACGTAACCGAGAGGCAGCAGTGAACAATGCCTCGGCACAGCTCAGACCATCCGCGGAGTTCGCCTTCCCTCTCCTCGCATCTGGATCCCCCAGCCTTGCCTTTCTCTTGCTCGCTCGTGTGAGAGGCACCCTCGTATATGCTGAGGCTGAAAGCAAAGTTTCGAGAGAAAACAGCTGCTGGCGCTAAAAAGAAATCATCGTGGTCTTTCTAGAGCTAGAGACAATAAGGTCGTTTAAAAATTCCTCCTGATGTACTTATATGCTGCCAACACCCCCACCCCCTCCCCACTGCTCTCCTCCCCCTGCTTTAAGGTTAAGGCTATGGAGTCAACAGTAAAGGAACTGTAAACTCCGATAAAGCTGTTCAGAAGACGTTACCAAAAACCCCGATGGGATGAAAACTCCTTTATTTGTCAGGTAGTTCAGCTGGGTCAGATTCCCGTGTAAATCCACGCGTGCGTTCGCACGCAGGAAGCCACGGGCACCCAGACCTGCACCCACGCGCTGCCGGTGACAGCCAGGCAGTGGGATTCGGCAACTATTTTAAAAATGCCTTTTTTTTTTTTTTCCCTTTAATTCCGGCGCTACCCAACGTTTAAAACTAGTGACGGCTCTTCGGCAAACCTCGGGCTCCCGAAAGGTGCGGCCATGAGCACCGGGGCCGAAGCAGCGCCAGATGTCGGCAGGGAGAAACACACCAGAAGTCTTGGGAAATGTCAGGCGCCCAACCTACACATCCCCACCGTATACTTACACACACTTTCGGTTGCATATCTTTCTCCGCATCTCACACGGAGAGCTTTGTTTCTTTACTTCTCCATCTTTTGTTTTGTTTTGGTTCTTTTCGTGTGCGTGTGTGTGTGTGTGTGTGTGTGTGTGCTTTCCCTTGGCCATTAGCACACATTGTGTATCCGGGGTCGTCTTCAAGCGGGCTGGGGGAGATCCTGATAAAGAGCCGTCAGAGGCCTCTTGCACACGCACACGCACATTAAAGGCAGGGGACTTGAAAATGGATTTGCACGCACACAGGAGATTGCAATCAATAGCCACCAACATTTATGGTTTAGATGGTTAATGTGAAAGCTGGTCAAAAGAATGAATATGAAAAATCAAAGGTGTCTGGTGTCAATTACATGAAAAGTTATGCCATAATTTACTTGCTGGGATGTATGCCTGCGTGTTCGTGTGTCCATGTGCACGTGTGTGCAGACCCAGATGTACATGTAGCTATTTCTCAAAAGCAAGGGAGTTTCTTTGTTAATTTTGTGGACTGTGTCACTCTCGCTGGTGATCAAAGATGAACATGATTAAAGGGATGGATGTTTGTCTCACATTTCATAAGATAAGGACGCCCAGAGATGCCCGGTTTTGCCAAATACATACGCATGCAACTACAGAGAGTTGTGTGTATGGGCGCACACACACACAGAGGCGATCAATCAAACGTGCTCCTTTTCACATTGAGTAGCGTGCAATCTGCAATCTACACTCTACAGCCAGTAGTATTTCAGTCTTGAAACTGTCTGGCCTAAGGATAAACCTCATTAGAAAAGAAAGAGCAAAATAATATTCATAATACTTTGCTGCAGACCTATTCCCATTTATTGGAAATCATATACTTGGATTTTTGTAAACTTGTGTTAAAATCTATATGCTCACAGGGAAGTGCTTAGCCATGTCATTCCAGAAAGAAAAAGTGTGTAACATTTAAAATACTCCTTTTACGTGATGATTTATTTTCATAGTATGATTATGTTTAAATACCAGTGCAATTCCATCTGAACTCTTCCTTCTGCAATGTAGTAATGCACATAGCATTTACAGTCTTTTAAACATTTTGTTGGGAAATGCAACAGTGACGTCCACCACCAGTTGTACTAATGGGGAGAATTCTTTTGAAAATCTTCAGGAAAACCTAAGAGGTCATATGCATTTTAACACTAGAATTGCCACATAATTAGTGTATTATTATTATTTATTATTATTTGTTAATGCTGGACAACATCTTCAGGTACTGACAAGCATTAAGTAAACCTTTTGCTTTCATGATGCTGGGCAGAAATACATATTTCACATGAGAACTTGATTTCTTAACACTACACTCTGCTTCTAGGTACTGCTGGGCATATTTTGCTCAAGGAGGACACAGATAGAGAGCAGCTAGAGGCTATCACAAAGAGTCCAGTAACGTAAATATAATAGGGTCAAAGAACAATATAATAGGATCCTTCTGCTATTTTAAAGTCAGCCAAATGTGACTGTAGTACCTAAAATTTGCTGTAAATTCTACTCTGACAATGTATCAGAATGTATAACTAAATCTCCTAAATGTGTGGCACAAAGAAATACCAGCCACCAGTCCAGGAAAAAAAAAATCATAATCTGGCTAACACTCTTATGCCTAGGAGTTTCAGGGTTGTTTTTTTCCTTTCTTTTCTTTTTCTCTCTCCCTTTTTTTTTTTTTTTTGGTAAACAAAGACGCAATGCAGGGTTCTACTAAGTGCTTTTAAAGTTTTTTTTTTTTTTTTTTTTTTTTTTTTGTGGGGGCTGGAATGTTTCTTGCACACTAGAATTTTGTGCAATTTATAATCACCACGAGCTAAGACTATTTCTCGAGTTTAATACTCATGGTAGTTTAAAAATACTTTTTAGCAGGAGTTTCTGGACACATACTACATGCCATGTTGTTTACTGACCCATAATCAAAATGCAGTGACCTTCTACCCTTTTTTTGCCCCTTGACCCATGCTGAATTCAATGCAGCCTTTATAAATTTGCAAATCCTTGGACGTAAAGGGGATTTGGTGAGGCTTTGTTCTGAAAGGATCCTAAAAGTTTGCATTTTTAATTAGACAAAGGTAAAGCAACAAACATTGGGAAATAAGATCCTCTCCTGCACATAGGTTATCGCTCTTAATTTCTACTCTGGGAAACTACATCTTAAAAAACGTACCCTGCAAACCGAAAAGCAGTTGAAAATGAAGACTATCAGGAGGTTATGAATTGCACCAAATTAGCAATGTGGTACAAATCACTTTCATGACGTAAGGGATGGCCAGGCCACAATCTTCCGGCTCTCCTCATCTCCAAGGACTGTGTGGATCCTGGAGACATGGGGAGAGGGGACAGCCAGAGATTTGATCTGGAGCTACAGGCGCATTCCCTTATCTCCTTTGCTATCAGTCAGTTTAAAGGACACCATAATTATGATGGTGATAAAACAATGCCCGCTTATGTGTGCTGAATAAATAAAGAATGTTTACAGCCCCAGAATGTTTCAATTCCAATTAAATGCTATCAAAGAAAAGCCCCTCTCCCTCCCTCTCCCCTCCCTCCTTCTTCCCCATGACTCCCTATTTACCTTGTTGGTTGTAATATGGCCCTATGAAATAAACCGGCCTTCCAGTTTGCCATTAAGGCCACATCGGGAGGAGGGGGAGGAGAAGGAGGAGGAGGAGGAGGAGAGGGGGTGTGAGACAACATGCACTCCCGGTCCCACAATTACTTGGGTCGCCTGCATCCTCTTTCTTTCTTTTTTTTTTTTTTTAATTTATTTTACTATTATTTGTTTATTTTTCAATTGGAAAAGGCGTGATGATGCAGGGGGAAAAGGCACTTAAGGATCCCGCTCCAACCACTGACTGAGGGAGTTGGGCTGAATTAATCCGGCGCCCCTGGGCACTGGAGGAAGGGGTTGTGTCCACCCCCCCACGGCTGCCACCCCGCTGGGGCCTCGGGGAGCGGGGTCTCCCCACCGCTCCTCTTCCCTCTCTGGTGGGGAGCCTTGGAAACGGGAGCCTGGAAATGCTTCCCGCTCACTAAGACACAAGGATCATTTCAAATATTCATTGTATCAGCAAATCTCATCATAATCAGATTAAAGCAAGGTTTAGGGGGGGACTGCCTGTGTTTCTGGGTGCGAAACATCGACTGGACTACAAAGAAAGCAGAAAACTGGTTTATCTTCTCCTGGCTTGGTTGCACAGGAGAAAAATGAAAAGCAGTAATTTTTGCAAGAAAAGGACACTTTAAAAAGCTGTGATTCTCCCCATTCCACTCTAGGTAGCATGTTCCTCTCAGAGGTTTTTTCCCTTCAAACTTTACGCTTAATATTTCTATACAATGCTCTTATTTATTTGTTCGTTTTAAACTCCAGACAGAGACTGTTTCTGCTGCGGAATATACTGAGGTAGATTTTCTTCATGACAATTTGCTTTTAGCTTATCTCAGCCGAGGGAACAGCTTTTCTACATTCAAGCTTTAAAATGTATATTTCGTTTAGTTGTTTGGGGTGAGATGTTTATATCCATTTTGTGGAAGCGAGTGAGGAACTGAGTGCATTTTCAGGTCTGCTCCATAGATGCAGGCCCTTTTCCTTTTGAAAGTTTAGACCTCCAATACCCTCAATTCTACAGGCAGAATTAGGATGTACTTGGAGGGTCCTAAACGTGACCATTCACTAAGGCGGGGGGCTTGCAACAACGTGCTCGGCAACTTAATCTTACGCTAAAAAGAGTAGAGAGCGTAAAAGAATGGAATACAAACTCTCCCGACATTTGTAGTCGCTTCCAAAGTGGACCGTGCATTTTAAGGCTGATGGGAACGTGTGTGTTTTGGAGCAAAAAGGAGAGAAGGTAAGTGTTTATCCTTGTATCCGCCAGTTCGGGTAGAAACAATGAAAGAACAAAGGGAACCACTTCTCCGTGTTAACATTTCACATTTTCCTCCTCCGTTTGAGCCTCGCTGCGAGGGGCTGGCGGGGGGGGGACCGGCTCCAACTTTACCTTCGGCGGCGGGACGGGGGTGCGGGGGACGGAGAGAAAGTTGCGGGGCGGTTCGAGTTACCCCCCGTTCGCCGCTGGAGCCTGCCGCGGGCAGGAGCTGCAGATTTCATGGCTGTGGACTTGCCGGAGATCCCCCGCGAACCGCGGCCGGCGGGAGCGGGATCGGGGCCGGGACCTTTGTGTGCGGGGTCTGCCCGGCCCCGCGCTGCCGGCGAGGACGGAGCTCCCCGGTGACTGCCGGGGCAGCGGGAGAGGAAGCAGAGGTTAGGAGCTGGGGGTGGGGGGAGGGGGTGGGAGTGGGGGGGGGGGGAGAAAAAGCCCCTCGAATTATTCGCGAATCCCATAAATCGCGTGGAAGCGCGGTGGGGGAGGGGCTGGGGGCGAGCAAACCTCGCGCGGACCGTTACAAAGGGCGGCGGCGGCCCAGGACACACGGACAGACAGACAGACACGGGCACGCACACACGCGCGCCCGGTGTTCGCGGCCGCGGAGGGCGGCCCGGCCCCGGCCCGCCGCGAGGCACCAGCTCAGCCCGCCCGCCATTGGCGCGGGGGCTCTCGGCCGCTGACCTTTCACCCCCCCACCCCCGCCCGCCGCTTCCTCTGCCGCCCCGACACCTTCCTTCCCACAATGCCGCGCGCCGGCCGCGCTCGTGCCGCGCTCGAGCGTCCTGCCAGCTCCCGCCCCCCCCCCCCCCCATCCCCCCCTCTCGGGGTCCCGGGAGAACCCGGGAGCGGCGGCGCCTCCCTCGGGAAGCGCCGAGGCGGGATCGGGGTGTCCCTGTGGCGGCGGCGGTAACGGCCGGCCGGGGGCGGGGCAGAGGCGGGCCTGGCCGCGTTCGAACGGGAGCGCTGGCGGAGCCACGCGCGGGGCGGCGGGTGCCGGGGAAGGGACCGGCCGGGAATCCCGTCAGCTGGCGGGGGAGGCCCCTGGCCACGGGATGCGGGGGGAGCCTCCTTGGCTGTGGCGGGGGCCGTGGGGCAGGAAGGGGGTCTGAGGTTCCTGCTTTGCCTGGGTGTTATGGGAGCTGGGGCGCTGGGAAGAGGATTTGCCTGTTGAATTTCATTGCTAGTAGACGTTAATCTCGTGTTTTAAAGTACCTTGTCAGTGGCTTTAAGGAAATCAAACGTGACATTAATCAAATCACACAAATGTAAACATTTATAAGTTAAATCCTAATATTATGCAATTATTTAAATCGAGCCATGGTTTTTCCTCAGTGTCGTGTTGTAGCTCCCGCTTCCTTCCTTGCATGCTTTGAGTTTTCCGCTGGATCCCGCTTCTTGGTGTCTGCTCCATGGTGTTCTGAGCCTGAGGCCAGGAACGCGCTAGGCTGTGGGTCGCAGGTGGCAAAGGAGGCAGCGCTGTAGCTTAAATATTGCCTGGTCACCTAAACAAGCCCATCAAGGTTAAAAAGCAGAACGCTTTTTGTGAATTTGAGGACAAAACCCTCAAATAATACCTTGCATTGGTAGAGTTGGGTTTTTTTCCTCCTTGGGTTATGTGAAGCGGGTGATCCCGTGTGGAAGCTCAAGAAGGAGGCTTGGGTGGCTGGGATGTGGAGAGAGGTGCCTTTGGAGCCACGGCGGGATTTTTAGGCAAAGTGACATATGCAAGACCCGCTAAATTGCGAGTAGGGAACGAAGGATGGCGGGCAGGAGGGCTTCGACGGCAGGCACGGCACGAGGGCGAGTTTAGCGAAGATGGCAGGATACCCTGGGAAGCGGCCGGCGCCGCGGGCAGTTGGCCTCTCCCCATCTTTGCCCTTCTTCCCGGCCCTTGCAGTTCGCCTCTCCCGGCGGGGAAGAGGGGATCTGGGGGTCAGGGAGGAGAACAATGCTGAGCCGCCCTTTGTGCGCAGCACCGTCCCCTGAAGGGAGGGAGCGCGCGGTGCAGCGGGGCCGCGGCGCCTCTGTAGTGCTGCTGCTCTCCTGCGGGCAGTGCTCGCGGCATGCGGGGCAGGAGCCCGGGGCAGCGGGATCACGGCTCCCATAGGCCGCCCGCCCGACCCCGGGATAGGCTCGGGAGCGGGGCTGGCGCCGAGCCAGCCGGGCAGTCCCGCTCGCCCTGCGGGGGCGGGAGAGCCCCGGGGGCGAGCGAGCGGCCGGGAGAGTAAACTCGTGGGTGCCCTCGGCGCGGCGCGGGCACGGGGCACTCCAAGGGTGAGCGGGGGCCTCTCGGCAGCGGGGCGGGCTCCGGGCAGGCTGCCCCGGGGAGCGAAGCGGCGAGCGATCCCGCAGGAAGCGGCAGCGGGGCCGGAGGAAGCGCGGCTGGGGCTCCCAGTGCTCCCGGCGCTCCCCATTGTTCCCCGGCCGCCTCTTTTCGCGCCGCTTCCCGCCCGGCGGGGAGGAGGGAAAGCTCCCGGCCCCGCACGCCGAGTGCTCGCAGGCAGCGGCGCAGGGGCACCCGGCGAGAAACCGGGCACATGAGTAGAGAGGAGCCTTTAGAAGTGCCATCCGCTGAGGGAGCTCCGTGAGACTGTAGCTCACGTGTTACTTGTAAGGTAAACCACCCCCCCCCCCCACTACCGCAGCGGAATTGTACATAAAGTAACATCTGTTTCTGGGTGGATTTTAGAACAGGACTTGTTAAAGAAATTGGGAAAAACTGCTCCGACCCACTGGATTTGGATTAATAAATGTAGCCAAAGAGAATTTTGGAAGGAACTGTTCTTAACAGGCTGTCTATAAAAACGAAGATTAATCTTATCCTGTTTTTCATATAAGCACCATGATGGATTTTTTTCCCCCAAGTGATTGTTTTATGTTGGTTTGAGATTTTTAAAGATTTGTTTTATGGGAAAAGCGTTGGTTGCACTTTTTTGCCCTGAAAATATTTGGAAATTAGTTTTTTTCAGTACGCCATTTCAGACCTGAACTTTCTCATGTATTTAGATAGAGGAAGAATTGACTAACTTGATGTTCAAGAAAATTCCCAACAAATGCCCTTGATCATCTAAGGGAAAAAATATGTATTTGCACATTGTTTCTGAAAGATTAAATTAAACCGGGTAGAGATTCGTATATGTGACGAGGAAAGAATTTCTAGAAAACTAGTTATTTTAAGAAATTGCTTTCTAGGAGAACTGTGATTATTTTTAGCAAGTTATCTCCGAATGCTTGTGAATTTATTTTAAAATACTAGAAGTGATTTCTAGATTTTTATTTTTTTATTTTTTTTTAAAAATTAAATATATGCCAAAAAATTAGCGGTTTGCGTAGATTGTGAGCAGTAAGTAGAAGAAGTTAAAGGATGATGTTTATGGATATTACCTAGCTGAAAATAATTCTGAAGTGACTCTTCTACCCCCCCCCCCCACACTTGGGAAGTTGCATGCTTGCAGTCATTGTTTCAGATAATACCGTTTGGGACTTCTCTTTCACTCTTGGAAAACTTGCAGGCTTTTGTGGGACTCCTCCAAATAAAAGCTCAATTCAGTTTAGATAGTAAAAAGCATTCATATAATTCGAAAGCTGAAGATGCAAGTAACATTTAATAGGAAAACACCACCCTGGTAATATCTAAAGGCATTAGCTGTAAGGTTCAGGAAAGAAAGATTTTTGTTTTGTTTTACTTGTCCTACTTGGGTATTCCGGAGATGCATTTGCTCTTGATTGCTGCTTGAGAATTTTCAGAAGGTTACTACAAATTTAGAAAGTGTCATTCAAAAGGACATTTAATACTCTTGAATTTACTAAAATATATCGCTATTTGAAAACTATCTTATTGAAAGGGAAGATTACAAAAAATAGGGAGAGATCTTTTGTTGCCGTTCTTCATTAGTCTTTACTTTGTGTGGAATGTGTTGACATATTTTATATATTAATTTTTTTTTCACAAAGGAGCATTGTTGTTACTTTTAATTGGGAAGTACCGTGTTATAAAAATTACCCACATTCCCGACTCTGAAGTACCAGAGTAAGATTGACAAAAAATGATCCGAGCCTTGTGCGCTTAATTCACCAGGAATGTTAAGCTTCCCAGATACACCCTATGTGGTCAAGTTAGACTTTTGCACTTAGACAGCTTTTAACGGTCAAAGTTGTACCTGCAGGAAATGTATCTATGTATATATACGTGGAATTGAAATGAGATGGTAACTAGGAGTGGGAATGCAGCTCACTGATCGAAAGACTTTTTTTTTTTATTGCATTTGGCAACCTCTTTCTTTCAGAGACACAATACAATTAACATATTCTGGGGCGTGTTTTTGAGATTGGGAAGTGGTGGCCCCTTGTTGAGAAGAAAACACTTTAAATAAAAAAGTAACATTGTCTTGTCCAAATGGTACTGGGAAAAGCAGAGTAGTATTGCTTATCCAGCCCACGGATGCGGTTGATTTACTCCAATTTGCTTTAGCATATAACAAACCAGCTTTTCCTTTCCCACGCCTATATTAGAATATATGTGTTTTGTTTATACAAACCCATCTAAAATAGCTCTACATTTAAGAGATTTGATGGGAAATTCAGCATGTTGTTTCTCGTATTTAATATGTAGTACAGATACCATTCCTAAATTGAAATCAAATAAATGTGACCTGTGACACAACACAGTATCACACTGCTGATTGTAACACAACTAACATGAAAAAAGGCTATTAATTTATATGGAATGTTAATTTAGCAAATCCTACATAGAAATATGCCTATAGAAGAAAGGGAATCTGAGGCTTCGTCTTGGAGTTATGCTATATAAATGTATTTAATACAAATCCAATGAATTAATACATACCTCATAAAAATCCAAACTTTGAAACGAAGCATTCTTGTTTGAAGAAAACCCCTGCATTACGTTTAAGTTGCATATAATCTAAATTCCAGAGTTTACTAACCCAGCTTTTCAGGGCTTAATATGGCATTAATATTCAATATGGTTTGCTAGAAGTTTATTTCAGGTTCTTTTGTATCATACTGTAATTATCATTACTTTGACTTGACTCATATAAAAATGTGGTTAACATTTAAATGCTTTTTTAATGTAGAGTATTATAAATTAACTGTCACATTTAAATCTTTAACTTCTATCACTTAGGGAATGTTAAATCTTTAAAAGGAAATAATCACTGCACTTGAAAACATCCTGTGCTAGGATTTATTTATGTAGAATTTTGGTTTGAGATTGTTCATTCAAAGAAAATCCCTTGTTTCATGTTTACTGTAAACCTCAGTCTGAAATTAACATTTAAATGCCAACACTAGTAACAGAAGCAGTACTTGAAAACCACCAATTTTATCCATTGCTGCTGGTTAAGTGGAATTTACCAAAGTCTTCAAAGGTAATAATATAATTAAAAGCAAAAAAAAATGAATACAATAGTCGGTGGAATTACTTTCCCCTTTCTTTGTGGTCTAAAGAACTACAAAATTTGTAATTATGTTTGCATAAAAGAAAATAGCACAACATATGAAGAGGCATGGTGTCCAGGAGATGCACTGACATGACCTCTGATGCTGCTACCTGGACTTGCATAACACGTAAATACACAGAACACGCAAACTCCTGATCACAAACTGACTACATGTTAAATGCTGAAACTTCTAAATTATTCAGCATATTGCATTTGGATAGGTGGTAAATACAGATTGCAGCAGTATATTAACGAACAGGAGGAGGAAAAAGAAAACTTTACTCTTTCTCAGTATAATTTAAGCATGTAAAGATACATTAATGTTTTTAACGTGGGTTCTGTAGACACACTATATCCTTCAGAAGTGAACATGGATAGAAAGAATTTGTTGGATCTAAGTCAGACTGCCATTTAAAATGCACTGTGTGGAAGGGTCAACATGTAAGAGTCACATTTTATTTTGTGTAAAGTGATGATTGCTGCTGCCTTCCCAGAAATGAAGCAAATACCCATGATTAGAAGGTATTTTAGTGAACACTGTTAATGATTTAAACCCACAGAAACAAAAGGCAGACAAGCTTCAATGTATTTTAAATGGATAATCGGGAGATAAGATTATTCGACCTATTGAATATCACTAAGTTACTGCAATTTTTCTGTTTTCAGTTGCATCTCTTTAGCTGCAGCATGTGTATCCTTTTGCACATAGGTAAAGATCACAGCTTTCTCAACAAAGACCCAGTCTGAAAATGGAGTAAAAATTGATGTGAGAAGTTTGCTTTCTGGAAGGAAGTGAGTTTTCCTGCTCTCCAGCTCCAAGTCCCAGTATCAATTAATGTTTTCTAATATAGTATGCATTTTATATCAAGTCTGTGCTTTTTCTGTTATTTTTGGAAGACTCTTCTGATTATTATATACAACTGGTAATGTGGTTTTGTAAATTAAAGACTTTTTCTTGTTCAATGCTTTGTTTTATTCACTAAAATCACAATATGATTTTGCACATTTTAGTAAAGAAGGTGACATTTAAAGCAAACATTCAAAAATCTTAGCTTTACTGTTGGAACTGGTTATTTTCTAGTAAAAATTTGTGAATACCTCTTTATTTTTGTTTTTGAAGCTGAAACGCTATTCACTTATATACGTTAATGTTTTCTTGAGGAATGCCTTAAACTTCTAGAAACAATTTGCGTTTGGAGAATGTAATTTTCTTTCACTTACACATTCACTGTGTTTGTGAAAGTATCTAAAAAAAAAATCAAAACATAGAATCTTTTTGTACGTTTCTTATATTCTGACTTGTTTAGCTCCTAGGTTTTGTAGGTTGCTTTTAAAAGAATTGGATTTTCTCCTTGCATATAGATTAACAATGAAATTATTCATTCTTACTCACTGGATTATATTGCTCTCTAATTATTTTAATCTCTTATATATCACTATAAGAAGGACAGGCTTCATTTTTTAAAAGGAAAATTGGTCTTCTGTGTCATGTCAGTGCTTATTAAATACTACAATCATAAGAACATATATGCTACAAGATTTTATGTTCTGATTCCATCGCTGTTATAGGCTTAGTGTTTGCAGTATTTATTTAGTGATAATGCGTTTCTTTTCCTACTTTGCATTTCAAAAGTCTTCTTTAAATGATTGTTTTACAGAACTATCAAGAGGTTATCTAAATTTTTCCATCCAATATTATACAATACCATAAAGTGGTAGTCATGGAGTTTCCTCCAGTCCATGTATATTCCTTCCATAGAAGGAATTAAACAGAAATCCATAAAAAGACAACAAATGTTTTATTAAATAATTGAGTGTATTAGGCTTCACTGAATTTTGACCAAAGCAGAATTTCAGGCTGTTCCATTCTGAGCTAGTGTGTTACATGGTGTGAGATTAAAATATTTTTATTTGAAAACTATACAGTAGGTTTTTCATGAATATACTCATGTTGCCATGGTGCAGCTTTAATCAAGTTGTTGCAAAGTAATTAGTTTTTTCTTTGGTGATGCTTCTTTATAAGACTAAAGATTGAGCTTTAAAATAGCTAACATTAAAAAAAAAAAGAAAAAAAGAAAGACTCGGGAATTGTACTAGTTGCTTTTCAAAGAAGAAATTGCAGGAAGACCTCAATGAACTAAAAAAAAAAGCGGTGAGAAAAACTTACAATTGTTTGTTGCAAGCTTTACTAAATGTATAAATTCATCCAACAAAATATATTTAATAGATTTTAATTTTAAAAGGATCTTTATTTTAATTTACCTGTCAGGGAAATAAAGGATAGATTTGCTGCTGTACTGAGATTTTTTTTTTCTTAGTTAGAGTTGGCAAAATCATTGAGGATGCTTTTTAAATTAGATGTCATTTTCTCAACAAGAATGAAGAAGGGCTGGGACACCGTAGCTATCAGCTTCAAATAATTTTGCGTTTTTTTAAAACACCAGGATATATTAACTGCTTTATTTTCTTACAAAGTAATTGCTTGCACCTGCCATTTTCAGGGTATTTTTTTACGAGCTTTTAAAGTAATAAAAATAGTGTTTTAAGTATGTTTTATAACATAAATAGTTTTATGTTCAAATTTGTGTTCCTCAGTGTTGATAGGACATTTGGTGCAGGGTGTTTTGTTTTTTTTTTTCTGGTGATCAATCTTTGATTTTACACAAACCGAAACATAGTATGTTCCAGTCTCCTCCCCCTCCATTTTTTACACGGGTCTTAAACATTTTTAAACTCTTACGGATATTTGGAGCATGTATTTATGCTTAGAGAAATGCTTAGAATGTGCCCCAAATGGCTGCATTAATCTCATGTTTGGTTGGGCCCTGCATGGAGGAAGCTACCTCTATGACTCCTTTTTCCCTGCCCACTGTTCTTTCTCTATCAAAATAATTTCACTTAAAACTTTCAAGGAGAGAAAAGAGCTTGACCTAAGATATCCTGCTTCCAAACTGCAGAGTCAAATGTCTGTAGGGGGTAGAGTTGTACACATCCCACCTCTGCCTTCCACGTAGCAGTTCCTGATACTCCCGTACACAAGTGCAGATGTTTTATTAGTTAACAATGTATAAAATATAACCTGGATATGTATCGGTATAGGTAGTGATGTGTCCAGGAATGTACATAATTCAGTAGTGATTTGTAGGGATACCAGCTGAGCTGCCCTTGCAAGATCATCATGAAAAATACAGTCCACGCGCTAATTCTGCTTCTCCGTCTTTTAGCACGATAATGAACATGAATCAATGATATCTTCCTTGTCCAACACAAATAAACAAACAAACAAACAAATAAATAAATGCTAGGCCTGGGGCAAGTGAGTGAGCAGAATTTTACAAGGCTGCATTTAATTTCTCTGTGCTTCTAACAATCACCACAATTAGTTCCTTCTGCCATAGGCATACCTGCTTACAATGGTGAATTCAATAGTCTGAGATTTTCCTCTCTGCTGACCACCTCAGCTCTCTCCTCTCGGTTTTTTTTCTTCTTCCCCTCCTCTTCTAATTAAGAGAGACAACAGAATTACAGAATTGTTTCACTAAAAAGAAACCCCAAACGCCCAGAGCAGCTGTGTCTGAGAACACGTTTGGTTTTGTGTCTGCGGACTCCCTGATTTCTGTGTTTGTCACATCTCCAGTTCAGCATCGCTTTCGCTGCTGTGGCAGGAATAGCCGGGCAGCGCTGCATCCACGCCAGGAGTTTTGGGGGAGAGGAAAGCGCGGGATTAATAATGCATTAGCTCTGCAGCCCCATCGCCGGGAAAATAAACAAAATAGTAAAAGTTGCGGTGAGGGCGGGCAAGTGGCGTAACGGCGAGAACGCATTAGTCCTGCAGGCACGCCGAGGGGATATAAACAGGATAATAAAAGTTGGGAGGGGGAATGCATTAGTCCTGCAGTCACATCAGGGGGAAAATAAACAAGATAGTAAAAACGATTTCGGGGGGGATGGGAGGGTGGGAAGGAGGCGGGAATGGGGCGAGTCCTCCAGCCTTCCTGAAGGGGGCATGAGCAGAGTGACATCGCGGGTGGGAGCGGGGCGCATGTCCGCCGCCTCCCCGCCCCCCCGCGCCGAGGGGAGGGGAGGGTAGCGAGGGGGGCCGCGGCCAGCCCGGTGTCGCTGGGCCGGGCGGGACGCGGAGCGGGGCGGGCGGAGGGGCCGGGCGGGCCCCGCCATGTCCCGCGCGGGGGACGGGCCGTGGCCGCGCGCCGAGGTGGGTGCGCGCGCGGGGCCGTCAGGTGCGCGCGGGCGAGGCGCAGCGAAGGGCGGGCGCGCGCCGCCGGCGGGGCGCCGCGCGCGCGCCCGCTCCCGCTCTCTCGGTGGGGGGTGCGCGCGGCGGGGCGCGCGCCCGGGCCGGCGCGGCGGCGCTCACGCTCCGCGGGCAGCGCGCGAACCCTCGCGAGGAGGCCCCGGGCCGAGGCCTGCCCGCCCGCCCCGCGGGCGCGCGCGCACTGCGCCTGCGCGCCGCCGCCGCCGTGCACGCCCGCGGAGCCGCGTCCGCCTCAGGAGCCGCCGCCACCGCGGCCCGGCCGACAGAGCCTGGCCGGTTGGTCGGGCGGGGGCGAGACGAGGCGCTCAGCCGGCGGTCATGGGCCCCGAAGCGTTGCCGCGGCGGTGGTGGCGGCGGCGCCGGCTGAGTGACTGAGGGGAGACCCCGCCGGGGGAGGGGGCAGGCGGAGGGCGAGGCGCGTGTGGCGTGCGCGGTGTTGACGACGGTGTTTTTAACCCTTAGATGGTCTCCAGCGAGCCGCTGCTGCTGCCGGTGTCACTGGAGGGCGAGTTCTCCAGTAGCATGAAGGAGATGATCGGCGGCTGCTGCGTGTGCTCCGACGAGCGGGGCTGGGCCGAGAACCCGCTCGTCTACTGCGACGGGCACGGCTGCAATGTCGCAGTGCATCAAGGTGAGCGGGCAGGCGAGGGCAGCGCTCCCGCCCCGGCCTCGCCGCTTCCTTCTCGGTCTTCCCTTGGCCCTGCTTCACCTCCCCCTCCCCTCCCCGGCCGTTTTTTCCCCATTTTTCCCTTCCCCCCTCTCATGCCGGCATCACCTCCCAGCTCCTTCTCATTACCAATGAAACCTGTTTCCCTGTTTCCAAGGCCACGTGCTTGTCTGACCTGTCCTGTCATCCCCTGTCCTTCCAGTCTGCCTGTCTTTTCCCTCACATGAGACTTACTCTGTTATGACTTCCTATATTATGGCTATGAGAAAGGAAGGACCGACTTTTCCAATTTTTTTTCTCTCCTCCACTTGTACCGTTTTTGTGTCCATGCTTCCCACTCTACCTTAGCACCCTGTTAACGTCAGCTGCAACCTTCCAAACACTATCTAAACTTCCTTCTTCTGTTTGCAGAACTTGTTACTATTCTTTGATCTGGCAATTATTGCTGTATTTCTTTCTTCCTGTACTCGATCCCTGTTGTCCCTGCCTTTCCCAAGTTTGAAAAATTTATTTGAGGGGCAGCCAGTGCACGAGGAGGGTTTAGGATTGGAAGAGAGGCGGGCGTAGGAAAGGCTTAGCTGTCATGTGATTTCTACCTCTGCCTGCCTTTCCTTGAATGTCATTTGGCTGATGTTTCCTGGTAGATGAAGAGACTTCCTGTTGTGGTTCTGCAGGGGGAGGGTGCTAGTCGGAATGGCTGATGCTGGATTTGTTTGGCTTAGTGGAGGCTCGTTGGTTGGTTTCCAGCTCAGCTCAGGAGCTGGCATGTTCCCTCTGTGTGATTGTTTTGTTTCTGTCAGTGGGTTGACCCTTCGTGTGAGAGCAGAGGAAGAGACTGGATTCTGCTGCTTATATTGTAAGAAAGGAAGTAATCATGGCTTTTACTTTATGGTATCAGAAATGAGGAATGAGATGGTAGTTTTACTATACCAACTTCTAAGCAGTCATGTGAACTCAGAGACTGGCTCTTTGGCTACTCATAGGTGGTGAACAAATTGGAGGAGACAGAAAATCCTAAATCCAATT